CCCCCCCGCCAACTTTCCAGACCCCGACAGAGAACACACCTGCTGTGCTTGGAGGCGATGCTGTAGTTGAAGTCGCAGTTGATTTGGCTGGTTCTGCACCAGGCCCGTGGGCCTGAGGCCGGGTCTGGGCTGCATGCGGAGGGTGGCATAGCTAGGCCGCTGCCCCATGGCGTGGAAATTCGGGTCCTGCATGGGAGTGTAGCTACCCTGGGCCATTTGGGCCTGGGACGCATACTGCTGCGGGAACACAGGGGCTTTCTGCTCCAGCATCATGTTGGAATCCTGACTTGAGAACTGTTCTGGGTCTACTGCTTGGCTCTGCAGAGAAAGCAAGCCCCCAGGGAACACACAAACAAATAAATAAACCATCAGAAACAGCAGGAGAAACAGAAGGCTCGCCTCTCTCACTGCCACAGAGTTGAAGCTTTTTATACTGTACTCACTACAGAGCTATACTTTCAGCTTGACTTGACTTTTCTTTCTAGGAAAGCCTCTTTGTTCAATAGATCCAGTTATGTGAGAAAAGCAGCAGCGGTCAGGTCACCTCCAGCGGCACTCCTTCCAGGGGAGGGGGACATAGGCCATGACTGCGGAATGCCGCCTACTTACTCCACCAATCAGAGACTGAGCTGGACTTCAAAATGCAGACGTCCCCTGGGAGTGGGACGTTTTTCGACTGACTGTTAACACCTGTACAATTCATTTTAATTAGACAACCATCTTGGTACCTAGCAGGGATCAGCAGTGTTGGGGTTCCCATCACCATAATTCCCATTTTGCAGATAACAAAACTGAGACTTGGAGACGTGAAGCAAGTTGTAACAAGCCCACTGGGCTACTCAGCAGTGGGTTCCAATCCAGTTTGTGATTTTGGACCTAAGCTCCCCACAGGTGGGATACACTGCCTTTATTATTTAACTTTCCTATGGCTGTCAGAATTTCGTACACACCCCACGTTTTGCCACCTTATCACCTAGCAGACATATTTAATGTATTTGTCATTCTTGACTTAGGGCTCCCCCTTTTGTCTGGGTCAGAACGAGGCAGGTGTAGAAAACCCCGCACTTCTCCAAGGCGGACACCTCAGACCCAGGTGGCCCTGGCTGCCTGTGTGTGGGGTGGAAAGGGGCACCGAGCTGATCTGCCTTCTTCACGCCACCTGTAGCAGTAATGGCTCCAAGTCTCCTGATACACAGGAGGAGGAGCCCAATAGCAAGAACACCTCTGAGGTTTCCTTTAGCCTAAGAACGTCCTGGGCTTCTTCAAGCCAGGCTTCCTTAAAGATGCTTTCTTTTCTAGAAGGAAAAGTGAAGTCAAGTTAAGCTAAAAGTAACTCTGTGTAGTGAGTGCAGTAACATCCTCGGCTTCGTCAAACAGGGCCTGGAGCTGACCACCGTCAGATCAGGGCGGCCCTGCGGTCGGCCGGTCGGAACTGGGCCCTGTCCCCTCCCCCATGAGAGTTGTAAAAATGTGGATGGTGGCTACGTGGGGGAGGCCACGCACTGTCGAATTACTGCTCTACCCACATCCACAGAGCTATCTTAGAACTTCATAAGCACAAATCAGGTCCACTGGTGCTTCTCATTTTCTGACTTCACCCAATAACCACATTTCTAGAATTCAGTTTAATACGATGTAATGGTGATGGATCTGATGAGACAGAATAGAAATGATACAAAGAAACGGAAGAAAAAGAGACTAAAAACTTAAATGATGAAATGACACCAGTTTTGATAAAAACAATGCTACCGGTCACTCAGCAACCCCAAGGATCACATTTTTAAATGTAGACAAAACTCAAGGATAACAATACTGAAAACTAAATTCTAAATACCACCAAAGACAAAGCAAGCCAGACACACAGGAAACATGTAAACTCCATTTTCCTTTCTTGATTTATTTCAGGTTATATCACGTAACCTCAAGTCATTTCTTTCCATTCTGTTGTTCTCAATATGAATCGACAAGTCTTAACTCCCACTTATGTCTGCCGCACTGAGGGAATTATGACGAGACTATTTTTAATGCTTCAGAGCAGTCTCCAATGCGTCTGCATCATCCTCATCACTGACTCTTATTCTGACACATCAGGTGACCAGGAAGTAGACTGGACACTGGAAGGTGCTCTTCAGCAAAAACAAGAATTAAAGGTGTTTCGTGCTGGGAAGAGCAGGCAGCAGCACGACTCTGAGGGTTTTTTCTAGGCTACTCTTTATGCAGTAAACCAGGGTGGCCGCTTAGCGGGCCATCAGAAAGTACTGAGTTCTTTCATGAGACTTATTAGGTTACTTATTATATTACTGCTATAAGTTACTCTTAAAGTAGAGAATTACTTTAAGTAACCAACTAATTACCAGGAGGAGGAAAGCTAACTAAGCCCACTAAAATTGGTTACCTTCTTTATATTCCCATTTATGCTGAAATATCCCAAACATTGTTGTGGGCTAAACCCACACAAAGGTCAAAATGATGAAAGAACTACAGCTACTTCTAAAATGACTTCTGCTAACGTATGCACAAAGCATTCTTTTAGCACCAATAGCTTCCTATCATTAGCTCACAAATGTGAGGCTAATATGGTGATCGCGGATGCTGGTAAGGGGTTCTAGGTGGTTGGGCAGCCGCACTCCATTCTCGGTCTCTGCGCTCCTTGTGTGTCCCTTCCTGTCATCAGGTGAGCTGGACTTCAGTTTCAGTCTTTCCGCTCAGTAACTCAAATTATGTGCAAAGCTCATTCTCAGTGTTTTCTATTGTTGGGCAAAAGTTCATGTGGGAGTAACAAGGAGATGGGGGGAAAGAAAACAGAGCTATCTCGGTCGGGGGTAAAAAAGTACTCTGAAAAGCAGACTATCTGTATGCAAAAGAAAATGGACATCTGTGTGCCACGCGTGTGCCTGGCCCACGCCAGCCTCCCTTGATTCATACCTGGCTGACCAGCTCGGGTATTCCCAAAGCTCTGTCAATCTCCTCCAGGCCATCGAAATTCCGCAAGGCCAAGTACAGCTGGTCCAGGAGCGCGCCCTCGTCACTTGGAGACTCCGCTGCAGGATGTGGACACAGCAAGTCATCTGGAGAGTTGCCAAACGGCTGCCTGTAAAGAGACAAACTTCATCTTAGGCCTGTGGAACAGCTAGCCAATTAGAGAACATTTTTTTTTCCTTAAAGACAAAGACATCAGTTGACTCCCAGGGTCTTTGTAGTAAAATCCTGCACCAGCTGGACACAGAACAAAATGACAACCCCAAATAACAGACACACTTTATTCAGTGCCTAACACAGGCAGACACCAATCTACGCATCTGATGCATGATTTTTGTTTCTGTTGCTCCCCCCCCTTCGCCCCCCCCCACACACACACACTTGAAAGCGGGCATCGCTGAGGCCCAGAGAGGTCAGACCATTTGTTGGTGATCACAGAGGCAGACACTACAAAGCCTGGGACTTCAACACGGACTGTGTGAGTCTAGGGCCCACCTGACCAATGAATTTCCACAAATCTACGCCAACTCTTCAAGCATATAGATATTTATGTTGCACTGAAGTAATCAAAGGATGTTTCTGAACTTTAGTAGGAAAGGCAAATTGAATAGTCTTATTTCACTTGAGGCTGCGAACCTGGCCAAAACTAGAGAACTATAAAAGCCACATTAATTTTTGGAACTCAGCTGTCACTAGGCTCACCTTGACTGGACTAATAGGAAATTTTAGTCACGTGTAAGCAGGACTTGGAAACATTTGTTAAAGCCCTCAGCAAGTGTGGCTGTTAGCCTCCCTGAGTTAGTCAACAAAAGTAGACCACAAATGTGCAAATTATGTTTGTTATTATATAGGCTAACAGGTGATAAAACCATAACACCAAACTCCAAACTCTATGGTATATAAAACTCCTATAATTTAAGTTAACTGACAAATTGGGGGAGCTTTTTAAAAAGAGCTCCTGAGTTACTTTAACACCAAAGGGGAAATGATACGTGTATTTTGCCCAAATGGTCTAATTTGTACTCTCCGAGTTACTGTATGATGTTTTGGAGAAAATAAAAGATACAGGCAAGTAATGCCATTCTTCAGCAGGCGAGAATAGATTCATCGGGGATGAAGTCACCTATCTAACCCTGTTTAATTAATATGCCATGTTTTCTAAAGACAGCTTAACAGGCCGCTCTGGCCTAGAATCCTGAAATCCTGATTATTAAAGCCAACAATTAATTTCAAACAGTTATAACACAGCACATTAAAAAACAATCCATACTCTCCATCTATCCCTCATTACACAGAAAGGAAATCACCCAGGTAAGTACCCTCGATGACACTCCTCACCTGCGGTCCCACCACCGAGGCATCGCAACCTGGCAGTGCAGCTACAGCCCGAGCCAGGTGGGTACAATGGTACGCCCTGCTGCCCACCCGGCTCCACCCCACGTTCCTGCAGAGCTCACGGCACCCACCGACTCTGAGGCTCTGCTGTCACTGTGTGTGTGTGGGGGGGCTCTTTCTACAGCTGCCTCCTCTCCCCCCACTGCCCTTCCATGCTCTCCCAGTGCGAACTCTTTCAATACAAATGTGGTCAGATCTACTCCACTACTGCTGTACTGAGGGGGTGGAAGGGAGGAGCAGACAGACGAAAGCGCGACAAGGAGGAGAAAAACCACAGGACTGCATGTCATGGAAGCAAAGACAGGAGGAAATTCCCCCAAAGAGGAGTGACCAACATTTGGAAATGTTAAGTTTCATGAAAAAACGAGCTCATGTTGGCCAAGGTGCGTATGTCGCCCACATACCAAGTTCTAGTCCTGAGACTTTGTGCCCCAAAGACGCTAGTTAAGTGAGATATGCAAGTATTTTATTTACCTTTTTTCCTAATTTTCAACTTCTGTTTCCTCAAAAGCTTCATTCCTGTACAAGCACGACCCTCACCCCCGTCTGTCCATTGCCAACAGGCTAATGGGAGATCTGCTGTCCTTTAACTCCAGCAAGGCTGCCTGGGAGCTGCACGAACCCAGACTTGGCTCTGACTGAAAGCAGTGCCAGGGCAGGGCAGGCGGGGTCTCGTACCTTTACAAGACAACCCCACCCTACTGAAGACACAATCAAATGCCTCAGGAAAAAAAACTAACGCAAGTACTCATTCATGTTTATACTATTTCCTAATAAGATAACCCATTTTTGTTACTGCTTTTTTCAAATTTAAGAACAACAAAAAAAATCGAATGAATGTTGACAGATTCAAAAGTGAAACAGTACCTCCAGGCCTTCCCACTCGGGCCAAGGCCCTCTCTGACTCAAGCTGGGGCTCTCAAGATCCTTTCCTGCTGCCAGTCTCTCTCCACTTCTTCTAATACGATGCTATCAGGTTTCTCTTCCCAAAACACCCTTCACTGAGCTAAGAATTCTTACGTCAGCCCTCCCAGGAAAATGCCCAAGTCCTTGGGACCTGGGACAGGGTGGTGGTGGTGGCATTTAGGACACACTCTGGTAAAGCACTTAGTGCCCACAACTTGCTGTGAGCCCCCGTCATCCTGGGCAATTGACCTTTTCCCCCTGAAGACGCCATGCACACACCATAATGCCAGGACTCATCACACCGTCTCCCACTAGCTTCTCCACCTAAGGTTCCACCTTCCCACCATCGCCTTACAGCCACTGGTGACCACGTCCACTCTCCTCCCAGCTCTAGCACCACCTACTGGGCTGGGCTCAATTGATATTGGCATTTATATTAAAAGCAGCAACTTGAGACCATGCCTGGTGAGAGAATAACTTAAATCTCTTTGTTGGCCTAGTACTTGAACTATATAGGTTACAGCAAGTTATCAATTCATGAAAATAAAAGCTTCCTGATCTGGCCAGGATATCATACCCTGTAATCAGAAATACACTGCACTGTGGCTTAGGTTTATAAATTTGGGCATACCACGAGTTTATCACTTGCCTTAAGGATATCATAATATGCTCGGCTTCTAGAAAAAATACTGACTCAGACTTCCAATACAAGCTTTACAAATGGCCACCAACATAATGAAGAAATTATCTTCCTATATTTTGGGGAATTACAAATACAGTCACAATCTAGATGGTGTCTGACAGACATACATATGATGAGGTGTGATTCCAAAATACAGTGAATGTTTAAATTAAAAAAATTTTTTATTACAGTTAAAGACACATTGCCATTAATCCCCCTCAAAATACTCCCTTACTTCCAACACACTTATCCCATCGTTCTTGCCATTTTCTGAAGCAGTTCTGGAAGTCCTCTTTCGTGAGTGTCTTTAGTTGTGCTGTCATGGCTGCCTCGATGTCCTGAATCGATTCAAAACGTTTACCTTTCATGGTCATTTTGACTTTGGGGAAGAGCCAGACGTCGCATGGTGCCAGACCCAGAGAGGACATGCCGTAATGTTTTTATTGTACAGAAATTGCCATACCAGAAGCGATGTGTGACATGGAACCTTTCTGTTGTGATCACAAAATACGGTCAATGCTGCTGCTGAGTGCCATCCAATGGAAAGGCAGGATCTTCAATATGGGAAGCGGCGCATCGAATCTTAGTAACAGTGGGTGACAAGTTTCAACTTGTTCGGTGCAGTCAGCGGGGTGTGAGCTATGGTTGAGAGACGGTGTGTTTTAAAGTGTGCCGTAAGTCATCCTCCATCGTGACAATGCTCCGTGTCACACATCACTTCTGGCATGTGGCAATTTCTGTAAAAAACATTACGGTGTGTCCTTATCCACCTTATTCATGGATCTGGCACCGTGCAATTCTGGCTCTTCCCCAAAGTCAAAACGATTCAGGACATTGAGGCAGCCACGACAGTGCAACTAAAGACACTCATGAAGAGGACTTCCAGAGCTGCTTCACAAAGTGGCAAGAACGATGGGATAAGTGTGTTCGAAGCGAGGAGAAATATTCTGAGGGGTATTAATGGCAATATGTCTTTTACTGTAATAATTTTTTAAAATTTAAACATTCACTGTAGTGTTTGATCACACCTTGTATTAAGACAAGGATGAAATTCAGAGGAATAAAAAGATGAACACACACAGGCCCCCAGGCTGGTGCAACATGGTAAGTGATAAGCTAGCAGAAGAAAGATCTATCATGCATAGAAACCTCATTTCTTGAAATCTACACTTTTATTTACAGACTAGTAGGACAGTAAGGAGAGTAAGGTCAATTCTGAGTCTTGTTTGAGAAACCATACCATTACCATCACTTTTCACATGTATTTTCAAAATTCAGCAAAAAAGCAGCACAACAGAACTACAGAAAATGGAAATTCAGCCGTAAATAAATGAGGATATGAATTTAAAAATGTGTACATAAACTAATGCTGGGTTTAGAAAACGTTAATAAACCTATTACTAAATACATAGGCAGTAAAAATACAAAATATTAATGGTGACACTTATAAAGAGTGTTACAAAAAAAAACAGCACTGCTTTACTTTTATTTCAAAAGAGAGACACGGTCAGAACCTTTGTTATCCATCACTTCTGAATTTCTATGACAATGAGATTATCATCAAGTTGGTCATAAATTTCTTCCAAACTAAACTATTTAAAATAAAAGAAGTGGGGTAAATGGCTGGAAAAACTGAAATAACTTTCAAATCGGTGAAATGTTTTGTTTTATTCACATAGTGCTGAGACAAAGAAAGCTGGCAGACAGTAACCAACAGTGCATGCTGAGTCACAGAACCTGCTCAGCAAACCCAACAAGCTTCCTCTGTAACTGGACTCAGTAACATCTGGAATTCCTCCTTTCTGAAAACAGAACTCTCATCTGCTCAGGCAACAGTGAAAATCCTAACTTTGGGACTAGTTTTCTTTCCTTAGATACGAGTCTCTTACATTTCATTCAGAAACAACTATCAGGTGCTGGATTTAATTATTGTACTACATTTTTATTATGTGCAAGTTTCCATGGAAATGGGTGGGTTTTGAACATATCAAATAAACATATGTCGAAAGAGCATTAACACTCCCTGACACCACGAAATTAGACTCAAAGAGCTGGAAGGACCTTGAGAAAGTACTGCCTTTAAGTATGACTGCAATGGTTACGCGCACGCTGCCCTACTCCCCAGCAAACCCAGCGACGGAGGCTCCACTGCCCTGGGGAGCTAGTTTGGAGAGAGCCGCGATGCCCGCCTGTGATTCCATCTGTTCTATTGCCTCATTTCTACGCAAAGTGCAGTGCGAGGACGGGTGATGCTGGCATCACTGGGGCCTGTCAGAAATGCAGGCTCCTGGGTCCCACCCAGACTTGCCTTTTAATGGGACCCCACGGGGTCTCTCCCCCTAAGTAAATGAAATCCAGCTGGCAAGCATCCTTCCTCCTTTATCTCCCTAAGACAGTTATTAAGCAGTTCCCCTGATCTCCTTTCAGTGAAATAGCCAGCTCCCTACTTTTACTCACAAATCCTATCGCTGGGCTCATAGTCATCTTCTGCTATTTTGGTTTTTTTTTAAAACTTCAATGACACTCTGAATCCTTTATCACATCCTTCAGATACAGAAAGGGAATGGGCACTACACCACAATTCTGAGCTGTGCAATGCTGACTATGACAAAGCATTATATCCCAGAGTGGGACTCCCTCAGAAACTCGTATTTTTTAAAAAAATAAACAAGCAGCTCTGGAAATGTATTCTACCTTTGTGAAATTTCAGAAACTCTGTTGACTTTCTTTACTCTTGTGAATTTCATTAGAGTATTACATATTTCTTTTTTTTTTTAAGATTTTTATTGGGGAATTGGGGGGAAGGAGAACAGACAAGTTGCTGTCGTTTTTTTTTTTTGGAGGGCAGTGTAACTGGCCCTCACATGTGGGATCTGAACTGGGGCCCTCTGGCATCCCAAGCCAGCTCTTAACCATCGCGCCACTCGGCCGGCCCAAGTTGCTGTCGTTTTGTTCTTCAGTCTAGTTGTAGAGGACGTTGCTTCACTGGCCCAAGTTGGCACCATCATTGTGTTCTTCCCGGGCGAGGCAGATCAGTCGCCTGCTTCTGGATGGCCACTCACAGCGGCTGCTGGCTACACACGGCAGCCCAGCTCCTGGTTGAGCTGTTGTTCAGCATCTTAGCTATAGAGGGCAGTGTCACTGGCCCTCATATGTGGGATCCGAACCGGGGCGCTCTGGCGTCCCAAGCCAGCTCTTAACCATCGCGCCACTCGGCCGGCCCTGAGTATTACATAATTTTAAACTGGACTAATCCCCCGAGGAGAGAACGTTCAGTCTGCAGCAAGGTCCTCGCTGAGCTTCTAACCTCAACTCTTTACATATGAGGCTCAAGACCAGATTTCTCCAGGTTGAGGTTTCTAAGTTTACTTCCTGGAAAACAACGCCTATGAGTTCCCACACCACCTCGTGCTCAGGCTCCTAGCTATCTCCCAGCCTTGGGGCTCTTTGCCCAGCCAAACAGCTGAGCAGCCATCACCTAGGCCTCAAGGTCACCTGCGCAACATCTGCTGCCAGTGCTCTGCTAAAAACTAGGGAGATTATGCATGTAACGCAATTGTGAGTTGCCTATGCAGGGAATAGCAGAACCCTCTAAAAGGCAAACAAAAAACACTGGTGAGCTTCAACTTGAGCATGCCCTGAGCCACTGGTGACAGGAGTGTTTTTACCCATAAAGCACAGCAAGGTCAGAAAGCTGCCCTGAGACTGCTGGACTTGAGCTGAGGGAACCCGGAGTAGACCCAGGTGAGTAGTGAGCCCCACTCCTGGCAGAGGCCGCTGCAAATTATCCTAAGAAAAGTGCCCTCATTTTCAACCCCTGATGTTTCATTGGCTGGGATCAGCTCTGAACTCCCAACGAAAGATTAGCCAAGTAGTCAGGGAAACAGGTCGCCATGAGTGAGAGTGAATGGCTGAATTCAGAGCTCCGAGAAACCCACATATTGGAATTATTAAATAAAGAAATTGAGAAAATAATGACTAATGTAATATTTGATGACATAAAGATGGAAAACACAAAAATAAACAAACAAAAAGAGGCTATGAAAAATAACCAGGCAAACAGGACTTCTAGAAATGAATACCATGTACCAAATACCAAGTAGTATAAATAAATAAACCCATACCTAGCCACATGGTGGTGAAGCTACAACCCAGCAAATACAAAGAATTGTTCAAAAGCAATCAGAGAGAAGAGCTCAGCTACAAAGAACCGAAAATGATTAGACTGATAATCCGAGCTAAAAAAACTCAATAAGGTTGTTCACATACCACTTCCTTTTTCAAAAAACTGTTTCAACGGCTTACTGTACAACGTCTGTGTCCTCCCGAGTTTGGTCTTTAAGGTTCTCTATAAATCTATGTTATTACTAATTTCTTCCAGCCAAATCTTCTGAGAGTGCCTTTTATTTTTTTTTCATCGTAGCAAAATATACATAGCCTAAAACTAGATGATTTTGTTGCCCTAAACATACTGTGCTGCTTCTATGACATCTAGTCCTAATTATGGTTATGCTGATTTGCCAGGTGGACTGGATTCCTGCCATCTCTGCCTCCTGAAATTCTACCTTTTCTTCCTGCCTTTGGAGCCTTTCCCAATCACCCCAGCTGGATGAGCTCTTGAAATATGGTTTGTGTCTCTTACGGCATTTACAGTGCACACCTCATATTACATTTAACTTATTAGCGTTCACATTTGATTTTCCAACTAAACTGTAACTTCTTTATTTTTTTATTTTTTTATTTTTTTTATTTTTATTTTTTTTTTAGCTGAGCCATCCTGCCACCTGTTGGCAGCTCAGCGGCTGCTCAGCTCGGGCTGGACTCGAACCGCTGTTGCTCAGAGCTCAAACTCTTGAGCGAGCTCTTAACCAACTGAGCCACTCAGCCGGCCCAACTGTAACTTCTTTAAAGACATGCCTTAGGTCTAACTGATGTTTGGACATCCCCGTCCCCCACACCCTCTGCACGGTAGATGGCACAGTTTGAATACATGAAAAGTGGTCAGGCCCCAACTATTCAAAAGGAAAAGATGAACTTCTGACAGAGGTACATATGCGATGACTTACGGAATTCAAGAAGCAAGGCTCTCTTGCGGCCTCCTGGGAGCTCAGCACTCACCTGTTCTGGCTGGCGAAAGACGCCTGCTCTATAGGCAGGATGCTTTCCGGCCACGGGGCGGTCTGATTGGGAGGGGCTTGTTGTTGGCTATACTGGGGCCCCCCCATGTTCATCTCTAATTCAGATGGCCCTAAAAGAGAAGACAAAAATCCCCCCAATGTTATAACTTGTAATCAGGGAAGTGTCTATTTCTGCTACGTAATACAAAGCTAAGTATCTGGTTTTTAGAAAGTGGAAAAGACAGAAGCAATAATAATTCGCTGACAATAGTAAGACTGAATTTTTATTCTGACACAGAAATAAAGGTGATAAATATCAAGGCTATCATCCACTTTAGGGAATATCTAGAGCAGCAGTTCTGAAGCTTTTTCACTTAAGACCCTTTACATTCTTAAGAAAAAAAAAAGCAGCTTTTTTGTCTGTGCGTTACATCTTATTCATATTTATTGTTATTGGAAATTAAAACTGGCAAATAGAAAAATAATTATTAATTCACTCAAAATCATCATAATAAGCCCTCTCTATGTGTTAACATAAACTAAACTTTTCTTCAATGGAAAAAAAATCTTTTACTGACATTGTTTTGCATGTTTGCAAATCACTTTAATGACTGGATTGACGGAACAGACCCAGAATCTCCTATCTGCTTCCATATCCCAGGTAGTGTGCTTTCACACAGCATGTACCTTCTAGAATTCTATTGTACACTCGTGAGAGAATAAAGAGGGAAGGAGAACAGCTGGGCCCTGTAGACCTCCCAAAGGGCACCGGGGGCCTGGCCATACCTCTGACAAGTGCTGGTCCTGATGTTTATTCAGTGTGATTCAGTGAGCCCTTCCACCAGGGTCAGGGCGGGGCAGAAAGGGGGTCCAGACAACTCAGGTGTGCCCTTCCTTACAAGCTCTTTTTAGAGGTTTAAGGCTAATGGATGGCATGAGTTTTTAAAATCATTTTATTGTTATCATTATCTGTAGGCCTATCTTCCATTATAATCGGTTTTCTGTTGCGTTCTCAACTTTGGGTTTATTAAATATTGGCGAAATTCAGCTATACTAAAGCTCAAAGAAGCCATATTTCAAGCTCAAAAGCCAGGTGAGGTGCCCTTCAATGAAGAAAGACTGAGGCTAAACTAAATATAAGGGATTTATTACCATGATTTTTTTTTAAGTTTCTCAGATTATTTATTTAATTTATTGGGGGGTGACAATGGTTAATATAGGGTTATAGGAAAAGTCATGGCGCATTTTCGCAACGAAAAACAGAAAAAATACGTCATGACTTTTCCGACAACCCAATATATTATTATGATTTTTAAATGAAGGAAACAATATTTTAAAAATTTCCCAGTTTAATTTTGCATGGAATTCTGGCCATTTTTTATGAAACTCTCAAATGATACAAAATTTATGTTTGGGAACTACTCATTAACTCAAAGTACATTCTCTGTAGAAAAGAAATAGGAATGTTATTACTCAGAAACAATAAGCCAAAATGCACTGAGCAATTAAATAGCTAGATAAGAAAATTGATGCCAGAGGTAAGATGAGAATTCTGCATTATCTTCTTGAAACAATCGTGGCACTGTTAATGATTTAGCTCTTACTCACAGTGTAATATCTAAGTATATGAAAAAGTATATAAACATTAACTTATCTGAGTTATGCTAATGCACAAGATAAGAGGAAGGTTAATATGTCAATGATTAAGAAAATAATCTTGAGTATGAGTTGTACAGACCATTAATTTTTACAAAAATAATGGCTTTATTGAGATATAATTCATATACTGTAAAATTTACCCATTTAAAGATTCTATGGGTTTTAGTATATTTCCAGTGTTGTACAACTATCAAGACAATCAAGTTCAGAACATTCTTATTCCCCTCAAAACAAACCCAAAGAGCGACCATTAGGGGTCACTCCCCATTTCCCCTCCAGACCCCAGCCCTAGGCAACTCCTAATCTACTTTCTTTGTCTACAGATTTGCCTATTCTGGACATTTCATATAAATGGACTCACATGATGTACTGGGCCATTAATTTTAGTAACATGTAAACTGTATCCAAATCGAATTCCATGACCCTCACATTTTGTGAGATGTCCGAAAGGACCCTGCACCTTCAGTGAGGACCTGGGAGAGTCCAGTTTAACAGTCTAGGGCAGGGCCCGGGAATCTGCATTTTAAGGCACCGAGATAATTCTGATGATCACCCAGTGTGAGGAACCACTGCTGAAATCATGGAAATACTTCTTTAAAATATCACAAATATAAGATTTACAGTGCGACACTGAATTTACGCCCCCTCAAAGTTGAATGCAATAATTTAATGAAAATACAGTATCACAAAGGTAGTTGATTCTCTAACATCACTGGAAAACCTTTGAGATACTATGATTCTACACAGAGTTCCAGAAAAATTCCACTTATGACAACTTGACATGGGGGGAATTACCCAAACCCAAATTAGGAGCTTGTCTTGAAAGGACTTAGGGGGCTGTTACTCTCTCCCAAGAAAGCGTAAACATGGAAACCGAGAGCACTGGACAACCTTACCTATATTCATGACCTGAGACTGCAGCATCTGTCTTTGGCCAGGCTGGCTGTTGGGTCTCATGGGGATGTTGGCTGTTGGATTCCGAATCATAGCTCCTTGGATTGACCGGTTCATGGCACTGGTGGTGGCAGCACAGGTGACTCTCACAGCAGAACTCTGTGGCGCCCACTCCCCAGATGGCATAGAGGGCCGGGCGGCATTACTACCAATCATTCCTGCAAGCAAGCCAAAGGAAACTGAGAGATGCAGTAACTGAAAACATCCTCAGCACGTACGAGCCCCCGACCTTACCCTGTACCAGATAATCATTCTGTAATAAGCAGTTAGCTCAACAGCTAACGCCGTCATTGGGACGGACGTGGGCCCTTGGCTAAGAAATAAGAATTAGTGATTACTACAGTTTTTCATAACACGGACTTGCCACTCTTTAGAGTTCGGAAAAGCTGTTAAAATTGTTCCCATATGTACTTAGAAACAGGTGCTGTGGCGTGTGGATAACCCCAACTTCCTTCCTCAGGAAGTGATCACATTAGATGATATACACGTCAATGCTTTACTTTCCAAAAGGGAGGTGAGGCTAAGAGGAACAAGGTAAAAGCTGATAATCAATATTTGAATTACAAACCAAAATCACAGAGAATATCCCAGGAAGCCTAGGCCAGACTTTCAATCCTTGAATATCTTTCCGAGTATTCTAATTTGTTAAGCTTCAGAACTGACCAGGGCAACCTCTGGGGCCCAGGGAAATCTCCCGGTCTTTTACTACAGTTCTTTACAGCCAAAACAAGGCCACGCCTACTACTGCCATATACCTGAACCACCACATTCCTGATGATAAATAGATCTAGACTGGGTTAGGACAGACTTGTAAAAATCCTTTTATGATTCAGAATTTCATAGTCATTTGACTACACATAACAATGAAAGCACAACGCTGGCAAGCAGGATCAAGAGTTTGCTCTCTCTGGCCTGGCCCCCGGGGTGCTGGCAACAGCCAAAGATTGGCTAAGACTTGATATTCTAAGGGTCCCGGAAAAACCCCAAGTGAGGACCCTTCATTTTGAAATGTTTAATGACGGATGTATAAAAGTTCTGCTTTCAAATACATCATTTGCTTTCATTTACTTTAATTATAATAAACAATGAAAAATAGGGTGCATTTAAGAAAGGGTGGTTCTTTACTGGTGAAATGAGAATGTGTTATATTGGGATGATTAACAGTGAAGGGTAATTAATTAGATTGAAAAAGAACAATATTATAATACACATCTAAAAAGACCATTTTAAGACTAGATTTGAACTATAACAAAGATATTATGGGAGAACAGGCATTTTAGATTTCCAAAAATCTCTTATCTAAATAATATAACAAGATTCTAGAAAGTCTAGAAAGCAGAAGGGAGTATCACCCACAATTTAACAATATTAGGGTCGTCTCTCTCAGTGTCGTTCCCTTTTTTTTGAAACAAAGCATAGGCATTATATGATAATAACCTGGACACCAGTGATCTCCAGGCTGCCCAGGTTGGAATATATAGATGTGGCCCCAAATTCTTACGATTCCCACAAAAACTCAGATCTTCTTGTTTTCTGCTAATACGAAGCCACCTTTAATAAAGCACTGGCTCCTTTTCTCTTATAGAATTTTTACATCAATCAATATTTTATTAATATAAATCAATACTTTGTCTTAAAAATAATGTAAAATTAATATGGCAGTGTTCCTGTGAATACACAAATTAGTGAAGTAGTTAGTTCCCAGAACTTATGATGGGCACCCAACAAATATTTGTTGCATGAATAAACTATTCTAATACAGCATAGTTCACGTTTCCTATAAACTGCTTATCAACAACAGAAAGTAAAAAAATTCATCTTTTCTCCTTCAATTGAACTCTTGCTGTCAGTTAATTATCTACATGGCAAGTGTATACAGGGGTTACAGGCTGCCAAAAAAACCACCCCAAATTAAACACCCACCAATCAAAGTTCTTTTTATCACAGCTATTCTTTCACTGCCTTTGTCTCTAGCACCTCATTTCGACAAAGGAGGAAAGCTATACAAATTGTGAGCTGTTCTTCATTAGAAGAAGCAGCATCCTGCTATGTCTGTGAGAAACAGACATCACAGGGCACAGGACGTGGTGGTAACAGCGATTTCTGCAGCCACCATGATTTCCAGCCCGAATCAGATGGAAGTCTGGGAACATGGTAGCTGCCAGGCAGTGACTGGCACTTGGGAACGTGCTTGGGCAACTTGGCAGGCACTTAATTCATAGCAGGTCCGGGTCCAAACCAGATCACGGGAAACTTCATACCTTCAAACACGGAGCCCTGGACCAGTTACTACCGGGTCAGGCATACTACTGTTTAAAGTTTTTTATTTTTAATTAATATTTTTCTGAATGAGAACTGTATCATTTGTAAGTACGAAAGGCTGGTTGAATTTTAAACTTTGTTCTGCCATTCTCCAAACACAAATCATCAATTAATTGGAAGCTGTGGGGCTACCAGCTTATCAGGAGAAGCTAGCAACCACCCATTACTTTACACGCAGCAGGACAATGTCTAGAACAGTAACTGGAGCAGAAGTGAATTAAGCCTATGCTACGGGATTAATGGTTAGAAACCTCGTGACAGTAGTGATCACAGAACAAAACGGTCAGGTTGCTGGAATGCTCTCTGATGCTTCGTATGCCACTCTTATGGCGAAAATCTGTAGACTTTTCATACGTTCAAATGTTAGCTTCTAACACGAAAAATTTCACTCGAGAAATTCTACTAGTTTGATGTGGATGAATACATCATTAAGTTAAGTAACCCAGTAAAGTAACAGTACATTCGAGCCCTTACCTGTGCTACTGTTCCCTAAATTTCCTTGGTTTCCTAGCATCCCTTGGTTACCCATCATTCCTGGCTGAGGTATCACTGAGTAGGGACTATTGTTTCTGATTGGTGGGAAGGGTCCAGCACCAGTTGGGCTTTGCAATGTGATGTCAAGTGGTAAATTCTGGTTTGGCAATAACCTGCCCAGTTGCCCTGGTCGTGGGTTATTAAAAGCTAAGGAGAAAACAAATGAAAATTGAAGGTTAATATAGGATAATGGAAAAGAACAGCAACAGAAGTAGCGTTTAGGGAAAATATCATCTGTAAAATAACAACGATATGCACACCAGGGACCAGCCGCCTACAGAAAAGACAAATTCACAGACAAAAACACATGCAGCACCAAAATGCAGACCTGTAATCTAATCAACACGTCTCTAATTTAGTTATTAGCATTCTTGCAAAAAAGAGAAAAAAAACTGTTTACCATACTTTTTTTCTCTCCAATACTAATTTCTAATATTCAATTTTATTTGCTAAGTAAACCACTAATACTTTTTTTTCATGTTATATTATTTGTATTTAGGAATACTGCTTTGTCTCAGCTATGAAGCTGTAAACATCTCCTGTACACAGCACCAAACCCAGAAGCGTGGTTTGAACATTAGAGTATCAGGTCTCAACTGGACTTTCCTAGGAGTAGAATTAGGTTAAAGGTGTCTACTCTCATTGGAAGTTAAAAATCTGTAAGTGTGAACTCTGCTACCTGAAGTAATTACTAAAGCTTTAGGGCCCTGTTTATTCTTCTAAATACAGCTTTTTAAAATTCCAGATACATTTAGATTTAAGATGAGTTTTACGGTTAGTTCACAAGGATTTATTGTGTAATACGCTCTACACGAGTACACTATACTATCACGCAGACAGCCAGTAATCTGATAACAGTGTCATTAAATTTTAAAAGTACAAATATATTATAAATTACAATTTATAGCACAAATTTACTAAATAATAAAGTACTTTACTTTCTCTGAATTATATAAACATAATATGAAACGGAGCATTTAAAAGAAAAGGTTCTTAACAATAACAAAAATAAAATATTTAGAAGAATTAGGACTCGGAATAGAAATGATGTTCATGCTTAATCATGACTTCCTCAGGTTTAGCTGTGTGGTTATCACTGAATAATCTGAATACCATTAGGAGGTACGGACAGAGGAGCAGCCAGGGGCTTGTATGCAGTCTGTCCTTCATTAATTCATCTGGTTAAGAAGCATCAACTTTCGGGTGTGTTTCTTAGTCACTTTTCAACTCTTCGACTTTGTGATCGCTCGCGGTCCACAAGTAATTCTCCATTCCCCAAGAAACAGGCAGGTTTGAGAGAGAAGAGGAAAAACTCTACTTTGTTTTACCCTTTACAGAATGATAAGGAACCACTCAAGAAAAGATCTAATAATTAGAGATATTTTGTGATTTGGTTGATGGTTGCCGTTTCTGGTATGAAACCAATGCTAAGCTTTGGGTTAAACTGTATTTGAAGTAGAAAAAAAATCATTCTGTTCACCAATTTAACACTAAGGAGACTATCTTTCTATCCATTATGTCCCTGGAACAGGAAAAATATTTTCTTTCATTTAACTTTAGGCAACTATCAAATTTGTAAACTAAGTGTTCATAGCGAAGGAAGAATTCATCTTAAACTTATAAAATCAAGCTTTATATCAAACTAATTAAAATAAAAATGCAGTTAGAGAACACTTATATGATAAAGCTCCCATGTAAAATTGGTATTTATGTGAGGATTCCTAAGAGAGAGGACAAAATATTTAAATACGTGTAGCCCTTTCAGGTCTAATGATTAAATATTTTGAGAATTTTTTTAATAGTATATTATTCCTAAAAAGTCAGCACTACTCATTTTCTATATTTGAAGTATTCAGTTGCATATTAAAACACAAAACCTAATTCAAACTCCATTTCTGAAGGCAGTCACTGAAATGCAGGGAAATATGACAATCATCTAAAAAACTTTATCTATGTTAGGTCAGGCTCATTCCACACTGATTAAATTAACCACAGAGAATGTTGGGAAGCCATGATTGTGAGAATCCACTCTGAACGTTGTTTGGAGGGACCAGGACAGTAGATGGTGCTATCTGACCACAAAAACTGCGAAGTGACTAAGCTGTCTGCATCAGATTTTAATAATCCCTATTTCCAATGGTGATTATATGGGAATTTCTTGGCAAAACCATCAATATCTCATACTCACTGCTCTGTGAGATTCGCAGTGCTGTTTTCTGGGCTCCGACAGGTGTGACCGGGCTGTTTTCAGCTGTGAGTTGCATGAGGTCATTGATGATGGCTTGCTTGTCAACTGATCCAGCAGGGGCGCCTGGCCTCGTGTCTGGGAAAAGCTGTGGTAATTGACTATTCTGCAAATCATCCAAAATCTCCTCCAAGTTGTCCAGTTCACTGCCAGGCTGCAGTTAACAAACAGAAGAGTTTATCCAGTCCCACTCTGGGAGTGGGCACCACAGGCCCGCTTGCAATGACAGCCCTTACTGGTCTAGCACCACAGCCGGCCTTAGGCCTCACTGTTCACTGATCATCTTTTAAAAAATTAAACTGACAACGGACATGTAAGTTAATCTTTTAGTCCTCAATTTTCTCCTCTGTAAAAAGAGAGACGACTATATTAGAAAGAAAGCTCTCTTCCAGTACTGTGATTCATTGGCAATTTATAAATTCCCCTTTATTTTACGCTAATAATTCAATGAATCGTGAGTATGTCTATTTCTAGTTAACCATGAGTATACTATGACTTTACAGTCCAGGTCTAGGTTTTGTGGTTAACTCTTTATAACAACAAAATAACAACAACAATAACACAAAACTGGTAGGAAATATGATCCAAATTTACACTAAATCAGTATTTAGTAAATGGTAATTTCCTTTTAAAACTTTTTTTTTTTTTTAAGAGCAGGGGATAAAACGCAAAATAAGCTTGAATAGCTAAGCATTGCCTTTTCATTTTGAGTGGTGTTTTTTTTCCCTGCACTTCAAGTTTCAACTGACAGTGGCTTTCCCAGTCACTCACAGCTTAGATGACAAAATGAGGGAAGCAAGATAAAACCGGTTGTCCCCACACATAGCACCTACCAACCTGACTTTATAGAAGCCATAAAAATGTTTTTTAGGGCTTTCCTTTTATTAAAATAATTTCATTTAAATTACCAACATTAAAATATAAAGTAAATATCACCACTGTTTTATACCTAAGTGCTGTTCTTCCAGAAAGGTCAATTGATTTTATATTCTTTTAAGTAGAACCTATCTAGGTGCCAAGTATTTAAAATCAGACAGTGCCAAACACACAAGAAAATGGCTAAGTTAAATGCTAGGATTACGTTCTAGTGAAGAAAGTGGTAAGAATGATTTTCTGGATGTGCAGGTGGAAAAACGTTAAGTTAGGCAATTTCCCCGAAGTCACTGAATGGACTTTGCATCTTGTCCGTGACTAACCCTTCCATCTACATTGGCAATGCAAATGCAATCGGTACACCCAATGTGAGGGATACCCAAAGCAGAAGGGCTTACGGTTCTATCCTACATACAATTCCTCTTCCCCATATAGAAGTTGGCTTTGCTAAGGTTTTTACAATTTATGGCAAATGTAGTGTCTCTATGGGAAGTCGTTTTACTGGACGTTTCTCAAGTTAGGGAGGATAAACGGAAGTGACATTTCATTTGATTCTGTGTTCAATCAACTAGCTTAGCAGTAACATAGAGCTGTTTTCCAGGCAATTCCTAATGCATTGTTAGAGCAATTACAAGACCATTTTCTAGTTAGTTCAGCTACCCATTTCTAACAAAAGGCAGAAACATCAAATGTGGGAGAGACACAGCCTAGGTGAGCGTTAGGGGCCAAAGTTAGCAACCTACAGCATATAGACAGACACAGACACAAGGATCCTTAAAACTCCCGAGGAAGGCACTTCTATTCCCTCAAAGGGTGACACACCCGTTTTCCCTCCAGAGAGGAAGCACATTACTGTGTTTTTGGCTGAGTCCTAAATGACGTAGTTTATGCAGGGCCAGGCTGCATTTAAAAGCCTGTAGCTACATTTTCATTCTATTAGAGGCACACAGGAACCCAGACGCAGTGCACTCTTCTCCCGCACCTCACGACCACTTGGCTGGGACACCTATACTCAGGGGCTGAACGCGGGTAAAGCTGCTTGCACTACTTAAACAGCTAATGTATGGCCAACTCTTGTTTCCTGAATGCGTAAGGACGCCTTGGTACAAGTTCAGGGACACGTAAAGAGACTCCACTGCAAATCTCTCTTTATCATGCTTTGCTGACTACGTAAGGTATAAACATCAACAGAAACATGTATTGCCTCCAAGGCCAGTGCCTGTAACAATAGTAATGGACGGTCAACCAGATGAATCCTTTCAACACATAATCTAAAAAAGTGTCTGTCCCAGGATCAACTACCTTTCTCACAGAAATTCCTATGATTGCTATTCATTTCTCAGAAAAGTGATTCATAAAAATGTGTGATATCCTTATGGTTGTGTCATGAAAATAGCTCTAGAGTTAAGAAAGAGGTTCTGATGTCTGGCTGCCCTAGGGAACAGCGCGGCCGCGTGTGGAGCATTCTAGAAAGCGGCCCTTGAAGCTCACTGTTTGGGGGGGAGCGAGGGAGGGTGGCTGTTTTAAGGGGTGATAAGGTGCATCTTGAGAAAGCTTTGCAGACTGCCTCGGATGAGAAGTATCCAGAATAAACAGGTTCAAATAAACCATCATAAAAATAAAGTATATTTTTCTCAGTGGATGCTCTCATATTTGCCCCCAACCCCAGACACATGTGAAAAATTTTTTACAATATTGATGAACACCACTCTGGGTTTAGACTCCAACCGTTTGTTTTTATCTTTAGTCTTCCCACGCAAATGAAATTATACTTTAAGCCATCTCAAAATAAGAAAAATAAATATCGTAGTTTCAAAGAGTTCTAATGATTGCATTCATTATTCTTCCTTTGTAATCTACTCATGTCTAATATAACTAATATAATGAGTTTAAAATCAGTCTGTTTCATGTATATACATAATGTTAAAATATATTTGGATGCTTTAAATCAATTTATTGCTTTTATTTCAAATAATTAGAAATTTAAAAATCCATTATTTTCATGTGTGAAAACGGATTTTTAAAATCTAACCTTTGCCATTTTAAGAGTTGACCGAATTCAACTGTGGATCAGTCGAGTTCTGACAAGTGACTAAGCACTGATTCGTCTTCAGAGAGCCATGTACAGGAGCTTATTAGTGTTAGGTTCAAAAGGAATAGGTTGTTTGGAGCCTCATAACTAGGGCACTATATGAAGTCATTCAGCTCACAATCAGAAAAAGGCATTTTGAAAATTTCCCTACTAGAGATACTACCGTTCTGCTCATGTTTTATCCTTGTCAATTTCTGGAGTACACATTTAATATTGTCGTACGTTTACTTCTAATATTCTCCAAGGAGATAAAATTCAGAATGTACACACCCCTTTGGGCTTAGCAATAAATTTTGACAAATATGGCATTTTCCTCTGTAGTCATGTAAGTTCAAGGGATGGATTTGATCACATTAAGTTTCTGATCAAACATTCCCTACCCCCCCTAAATTTTTGTAAGCTTTAATTCTTATCCAAAGTTGTAGTCCCTCTCCACTTTTTTTAGGCATGATTTCTTCACAAGACAAAAAGATTAATGCCTTCCTTTAAAATGCCTTGCCAAGATACTTCAAAGTTTTGCTTAGGCATCTACTCAAATGCTCAAATTAGCCACATCAATTGGAATAGTTAGTTTAAACTATTTCAGGCAGAAAATGAGTCAGAAAGATTTTTATACAAGTTCTACAAAATGAAAATTGAACTTGATTTCTTTAATTTTTCATTTTTCTGGTTTTATGAAATTTTCATGTGCAAATGTACTTGTTCTCTGAAGCAAACGTAAAGAGCACATGCACTTTAATAAGTATTCTAATAAATTACAAATCATCTTTTCAAAAAGTTCTTTTAAAAAAGTGTAATTTTCCATTTGCCCAATGTGAAATTATTAAAAAATGGTAATACAATTTACCACATTTGGAGGGAAATACTACCAGTGTAAAATATGATTTGCTGTTCTAATGGAGCCAAGTTTAACGAGAAGAAATTCTTTTTAAGCTATTTCTAAATCCTCATCATAAGTAGCCCGGGAGCATTAGAAAGAACATAAGTATCATTTGGTTAGGTATCAACAGGCTTTATTGTGTAAATAAGTATATAACTTAAAAGTTGGTAAACATATTGGAAATTTTACTGTCACTGTTTCCTGTTGGTTACGTAATGCCGTAGAAACAAATGTTGTTTAAATACTCTACCCAGTAAAGAATGCTATTTTAGGTATAATAGTGCCTTCGAAATACTTCCTGTCCTTAATAAGTTAGTGATAGGTTAAACACACACTCGGTGAATGGCTCTTTTCTGAATCAAAACAGCAAGACAGTTAACTGTGTACTTCAGGCTTGCTACCAGTTTCATCTTACTAACTAAAAAACTTGTATTCCCTTGAAATCAAAGAAAAGTCTTCAATAAATGTGTACAGCAGTTAATGGGAGATACAAGTAATCTGTACTTGGGAATAGTGAAGGATCAGGAGGAGAAAGAATCACTGTTTTTTTCTTAAAGTAAGTCCTTCTAACTTTGATCTAAATTTAGGTAATGCATACTTCCTGTGGTAACATTTCTTTTCAAGTTGCAACGTTTTTGATGTTAAAATTGCTCTGAAGCAGTATGTTTTGGTGGAGTTTTAAATGGGAATGGATGGAGGGTGACACACAGACTGGGTTTCATTACGAAAAAAAAAAATACTGTGTGTGTGTGTGTGTGTGTGTACACTGCTTTTTGCTCTGCCCAAACACTAACAGATTTGTGCTGACTGCCCGCTGGGCTCTCTGTTCCCTAGGTGGGACAACTTTGATTAGAAAAATGTTTCTCCTAAACAATTAGAAACTGCAAGCGACTCAAGGACTTTTTATAAAACTTCGCTTTTAGTCAGTTTCTTGTTTGAAGTTAGTGTAATCATTTATCTAAATATAGAAATGCCAGTGTCCCCCTTCACTGGCCCTGTAAGTCCCTTTGGCTTCAGGCCTGGGATAGAAACAAATTGTGTTTATGGAGGGAGGGGCCAATCACTTAGCCACCAAGCTAAGGGGGACCTGAGTCACCACCTTGCCCTCCTGCACACGTCAAAGAGACTTGAGTGACAGTATCTGTGCCTGTCACCCTGAACTGCCATTAGCTCTGTATACGCTCATCTAGTAAACGTCAAAAGATTGAAACGTTTACAGCCGTCCATGTGGTTTTATACTACACTTTATCCCTGATATTGCTATTCACTTTCTGCTGAGCACTCGGTTTCCCCCCATCTAATGATTTTACAGCATTACAGAATAGCTGCTATAACGAATTCTGCACTGATATCTAAGTTTAAAGATTAATTACCAAAGATATTTATATAATTAGGCCTTTTTCCTTGTGAAGGGCACAAAGGCTTGGACAGCATATCTGCCTTACAGGAACGGTAGCAGCTGTCAAGACATCAAAGTGGAAGAAATAAAGGAGGACAAGTGCTTAGAGCCAGGGACAAAGCCCAGCTACAGGAGCAGGTGTGGCCTCGGCTTTCAGATTGCTGCTGCCAGCCGCAGCCCTGCCTGTGCGTCAGCCTCTGCTTCCTCAGCAGAGCTCACGGCTACAGCTAGCGGTCCCGCTCTCCTCTCCCCATCCACACCTGGTCCCTGAAGACAGCGATGCCTGCAAGATCCACTTACACACCAAATTTCCAGGACAAATTAGTGAATTTCCAGGACAAAAAAGTGAACCATTTAAAATAGGGAGGCCTCCGCCGCTTCTTCTCTTCTTAATGAATCATGTCCTAAAAGACGTGAAGTCCAGGGCAGGGCTGAGGAACTAGAGTTGGTCGTGCAGGGGGAGGTCTTGGACCATTAACCCAGCCAGTCACCAACTCCGCAGGAAGCACCCCAGGCCAAGCCACTGTGTCACTAACAACTCGAAAATGTAACAAACGGTTTACATTTTCCTTGTGATGTCATTATTTCCTTAGACTATTATCAAGAATGACTTTGAATATCACTTCAGCTGTCCTGGGTTTTTCCAGGGAATTAAGTCTTCAGATAAGAACAACAGATAATACCACCCATCATTTTAGTTTTGCATTTATATATGATGGCTCAGACATACACCAAGTTAAGCTTTCCCTCTCCTGTGTTACTATCCCTTCCCCCTTAAATACTTTTTAAATGCCGATTGTCTAAGAAATTCTTTAGCATGAATCAGAGTTTTGGTTGAGAATAAGGAGAGGCACAACGATCTTCACTATGCCTGAAAACCGGTCAAACTCTGATTTAAAAAGAGAGAAAGGTAAATAAGAAATCACTGAATGAAGTCTGTCCTGACAGAGCCCAGTGCTGAGGAAGTGGTTATCTCCAACGTCGGCATCTTCCACTAACAGGGGTCAGACTACAGCTGGCCTGCGGGCCAGCTCCCGCCCACCACTAAGAATGGATTTACATTTATAACAATCGAAAAAAAATGAAAAGAAGAGGACTTTGCGACACATGAGAATTGTGTAACATTCAAACAGCACGACCTGTAAGTCAAGTTGACTGGAACACAGAGTTCGTTTTCACGGAGTCTGCGGCTGCTTTCACACTGCAATGGCAGAATGGAACAGTTGTGGTAGAAACTGCATGGCCGGCAAAGCCATAAATATTTACCATTTGGCCCTTTAGCAAAACAAACAAAACAGGCAGCCGACCCCTACCCTGAAAGAATGTCACCTTTTACTAGACAGAGTATTTACAACCGCAGCTTCAGTGAGAATGAACTGTTTTCAAAGGAAGAAAAGCAAAAGAGAAGACTTATTTTTAATATCTAATCACCTGAGGCCTCAAAATGCCCCTGTGGAGAGAACGCTTGATGGACAGGGGTCAGCACAGCCGAGAGGACACATCACCAACTCACCTGGTCACCAGGCTCAAAGCTCATCTCCTCCTTCTCAGTTTTCATAGCTATTAATTTTGTGTTAGTGGCAGGGTCTGTCTTACTGTCCAGCCGCTCAAGTTTGGGGGTTATTTCTGGTAAACCGATATCTTTAGTATCATCTTTATCGAGCAAGTAGCGCAGTAGTGCATTCTCTTTCTTCTTGGGGCTCACGGGCTCTTGTTTAATAGTCACCTCAGAGCCGGGAGCCGTGTTGCTGGCGTCCTGGCTCAGCTCTTTGCCTGTGGCTTCCGCTGTCAACTTAGCCAGGTCCACCGGGGAACTGCTGTCCTGCAGGAGTCTGTGCAAAATCTTATGCTTCTCCTTGAGCGAGGTGCCATGTGTCGACCCAGAGCCAGGCAAGCTACCCGCGGAGTCCTTGTTTGCGTCCGACAAAGAGCTGGACAAGGGTGAAGGCTCCATCTGGTCAGATTTGGTGGTCAACAGCTGGAGGAGTTTGGTCTGTCCTTTGCTGTCGTGCAGCCTGTTCTGTCCGTCAGGTCGCTCGCTGCTCACGCCCTGGGGCAGGCTGGAGTCACTTGTCTCCTTTTGCTGCCCAGGATGGCAGCTGCCCTCCGCTTGTCCAGTTGTACCTTCAGATGGCTCCCCATAAAGTCCAAAACAGTCTTTGGAGTCTAAGCTACCCATCTTGCTGAGTGGGGGAGGATTCATATTAACTGGGGAGTTTTGCAAGTTGCCCATTTTTAGGTCCGGCGAAGCCAACGATGACCCTAGTGAGACCCCGTGCCCCTCGCTGAGGGCCTGAAGTGCATTGAGGGAGCTGTTGGTGTAGTTATGGCTATTTCCTGTGCTGCTGCCAACTCCCACGGGGGAGTGCAAGCTTCCTGCAGGGGAAAACTGACTGGGTGGGATGCGAGGGCTTCCAGCCACTCCAGGGCTCATGCGATGCCTTGGTGAAAGCATGGAGTTGGGCTGTCCTGGGTTCATGCCAGGGCTGCTCTGGGAGGGACTGTTCATTTTGAGTGCATAGTTACTACCCTGAGGAGTGGTTGCTGGCATGCTTGACACATGGTTCAGTCCCCCAGAACCAAACCTGCCCATGGGCATGCCCATTTGCTCCTTTGGGCCATTTATGGGAAAATTTATATTGCTACTGAGGGTCATGTCCTGACCTGGGTTCCCACTGCACATGGCCTGATGGGCAGGGCTGCCAGAGCTAATTGGATTCAATGGCTTCCCCATCGCTTGTCCAGTCAGATCCGGGTTCATTACACACACATTCTGCTCTCTGTAGAATGAAGAAGGAAATGTCAGATAAAAGGAAAAGCACTTAGCATGTTGTTATTAATTTTAAAAAATGAAATGGCCTCTTTTCTTTAAAAGAACAGGCTACACTTAAAGGAAAGGTAATACTTTAATGAAACAATCTGCAATTATGGACAAGACCGAACATATTTACTTTTGGACCAAGAGGGATATTTTTCAGTCAACTCATTAAGATGTCTGCAGTTTTACAGAGGGAGTGTTTTCTAAATTTGACTACCGCCATATTGAAATTGTAGTTATTAGACGTGACATTAGAAGGGTTCCAATTACGTAATATATCTTTTTCATTAAATGGTATATTATTATGAATAACTGAGAGCTTGAACCATCTAAAAGAAATGCCCCAAATAAGCAGACCTATCTCCCATCACCTGCCAGAGATTATAATTCTGGACGACAGACACATCTGTACCACTTGTCTCAAAAAGGACTGCAAATTTAGGGGGAACAAACTTGCCCCTAAGAATGAGAAACTCTGCATGTTTCAGAGCCAATAGTTACCCAAACTGTTTAGAATTAGGTCACTTTAACAGATACCCCTGTCAAAGCAAGAGCCTCCAAAACAGACAACATGGAGACAACGTCAGAGTGACCTTTTGTGTTCCAATTCCCCGACGCTTAGACAACGCCATCCATTCCCTTACTGATGGCTAAAAGGCAGGTTTTCCGAACCAGATGATTTTCCAAGCCTGATGAGCTTTAATTTACAGCCTTGGCAGTCACTTGTGAGTTGCCAAATGTGTTCACAAACCCAAACAAAACAGGTTTCACGAATTATCAAACATCAGCTTTCAGTTACAGGGGGTGAAATCTGGCACATCTATAATCATTTTCAAATTGTTTCAGTTTGAGGTCAGATTTATTAACAGTTGGCAAACAGGGCTGCCTGATTTTTTTTTATTCCAAAATAAGAACGTAAATAATTGAGGAATGCAATAAAAAGATGTTCTTTACCCAGAGCAACTTCATGTATCCTCTGATAGCACCTCAAGTTTTATATAGCACATCCATAAATATTTACATAACTTGAAATGTAGTTATTTTCCTAAATTTGTGCTCTCAAACAATATGGTTCATGATATTTTAAAATCAACCTTTAGTTGTCTTTACTTTATTTCTTATGGACATGTTTATTACCCTGCAATTTGAAGTCTAATGTCAAGAAGTTAATTTAACCCTGAGACTAAAAATCTAAACTATGCCTTCTAAAAGTATGCATATTTGAAAGTTGAGATTAAAACACAAGAGCCAACCGTGCTGTTGGCTTCGATATCCCCGCCCTGCTGTGTCAATTTCACTTCCCTGTTATAACAGTCCAGTCAGAGCAAAGTTAGAGCTAGCCTGCGTTCGTCCAGCTGGGCTTTAAAATTCACTAGTGCTCAGGCTAAAATTCAAAGGATAGCCTTACTGAGCAGGTATCATGAGTTGTCTTTAAACGAATAGTTAATAGCAATTTAATTTTATATTGTACATCCTTGGGGTTAATCAATACAAATGTCTAACAAATCTGGGAAGCTCTAGGGTGACTGGCTGCTTTTGCACCGTCTCCTTGGAACTTGGAAAGAAGACGATCTCGCAGAACTAAGCTTACCTGTGAAGCATGTGCAACGATATGACAAGCTGAGGCTCATTAGTAGTCTGAGAACGGATGAGTTTGCTCTTCGTCTGTGCAGCAACGAGAGTGCCGTCGGACAAGGAAAAACGATAGATTTGACTGAATGCCAACCCCTGTCGCAGCACTGTCGGCAAGCAAGGAAACAGAATGCATGTTTAGGAAACACATCACGGGGTGGGAATGGGACAAAACATAGTAATAAACTTCATTCAGTTTAACATTTTCCGACCGATAGTTAAAAAGAGTTGTACTATTTCATGATATTAAAACTCTGCACATTTTTAAAAGCACATGTATTTTTCACTCAAAATACCAATACATTCAATATATTGTGTTTTTTTTTAAATGAAGCTTAGATCCTCAAACTATATTCTTGAAAAAAATCTTCAGTACCACGGCAAAACACAGGGTAAGCAACTTATTAGCTCAAACAAGCTTTGCAATGATTTAAAATGTTAGAAAACAATGCATAAACGTGGTATGTCTAAAGTGTACAACTTGCCTTTAATTTCCCTTTAAATTAATACAAATATTATAGTAAAATTGATGATAGTAAATATATTCCCCGAATATTCGTCTCCAAGTTACATACTGCTCAATTCATCATCTCACACTACTATTCCCCAATTCTGTTTCTCACTGTGTAAGAAGCATTATTTCTGTGGTTAGGACAACAGGAAGTAAAAGATAAACAATCAGAAAACTCTTTTCAGAGGAAAGAAAGGCTGAATAGAAAACTGAAACAATAAAAGTGCAAATCTTAGGGACATGAAATTGGTTTAGCTTCTGGATAAAAAACTAGGCGTTTCCATTTTCAAGACAATAGTAGAAAATACAACACAAATCAACAAGGTTAAAATAATTTATCTTAAAAAAAAGACTTCATGATTTATCCTTTAAAATAACTCTATTTTAAAACTGTCAAATATTGCATATTAAAAAAGAACATTTCAATTTAGAGAAAAATTGCCATGGTATTTACTTACCTCTTAAACCATTTTAAGACTACCATGTTTTTACCACATAATCCTCAGCACAAATTTTGTGGGTTGAATTGCTAGCCCCAAAGTGACCAAGCACATTCGCCCTTCCACAAAAATGGTGAGAGTCTCTGACACACCACGTGGATCCTGATTTCTCAGTAAAATTTCACTGTGAGCACTTCCCCTGAAGAAACCCTGTGCGGTTTCAGTTACGTGCAGTATTTAGGTACCACTTTCTGGTCTCTGCTGTTGCATGAGTTACTCCCAAGTGGCAGTACTGGAGATGAACATGCGTCTCTTGTCTTGTACAATAAGTATGTTCCTAAAAGGTAGCATAGGTACCCTTTTTATGATAGGACTCCTATTTTCAATGGCTTTTAATTTCAGAATTTTATCTGACCTTGGATGTGATTCCTTAAGACTTTCCATTTCCATTTGGTCTCCACCAAACATCTTTACTAAGTAGGTCCGTGTAAGCATATGTGCCTGATCACTTGGGAAGCTCCTCCATTTAAACAAAGCCTTCCAGTAGGCTGTTATCCAATGCAAATGATTACCCTCGACCTTACCTATTTCACACATTTAGATGAAATGTCTTTCATATATGTTGGCGTGTCCTTTCAGTGGGTCCTAGATAGCATGGTGCCTGGTATATCTATCTGCCTAAACCCTTTCATAAGGAATCAAGAAGCCATAGAATTAAATGCAGGGCATTGCTGCTTAGGGCCCAAGGACACTGACCACGTTTGCTCATGGTGATTTGTTTGTTGTTGTTACTATTTTTATTTTAAACCAGATCTAGTGAGATGGCAGGCTAAATATTGATTTCTATCAAATGTAGCATCTGTATTTCCTCTTCTTCTTTCCAACTTAAAGAAAAATGCTGGAAGACACAAGTTGTTGGATTACCTGCTTATTTTTTAAGAAATAATGATAAATAAGATGAGGAAAAAAATAAGGGAATGAGGAGAGCGGTCATTTGCTATGATGTGTACTTTCTCATAGCAATCTTAAAAGCATACAGTTTAAACATATAAACACTACTGGTAAAATGCCAAGGTCACAGATGCACAGTCAATGGAATATGACAACTGAAACTGTTTTCAATAACGAGTTAGTATTTTTCTCTGCAAAAATGCAGACAATTTGTCAGGTTGAGTTCCGAGGCCTTAGGCCTTGTGCCGAGTCCCTTGCGGGCAGCCTGGCCCCTCTCTGGCCATCCCTACCTCTCAAGTGCACCCTGCCAGGGTATGAAGTACCCAGGAGAGGAGAATCAAAGGCCAGGAGAAGCAGAAAGTGTCTCCCTTCTTCACTTAGCACGTGCTAAGGAAAAGAGTTTATCAAAAGAGCAGAATGGGAAGAACCTTGGGGGCAGCACGCCAGAGTGGCTGTTGGGATGGGTCTCAGATTCACCCTCGGTGCTGACACTTCCGAATGCAATACCCAGGAGCCAGTCGCCTCCCCTGTGTCGGCCTCCCCATTCATAGCACGAGTGTGGCACCGCCTGCACCAAGGAGGCAACCCAAAGGGGGACCATGCTGGACAGGACCAGGTGCTCAGTAAGGGCAGCTGGATTCTGAAACATGACTCTGAAGTTCTGGGTTTAGTTCCAGTTGTTCTGTTAATTGTGTGACTCCAGACAAGTCACTTCATCTCTTTGGCCTTTCCAGAAACATCTGGGCAGCCTTCAGTGGTCACCTGGAAGGAGGGCTTGGGGTCCCACTGTCACCTCAATCAAAAAACCACGGGCTTTTACACATTTCATTTCATTCTTATTTCCAGATTGTCCTTATGATTCAGGCAATATTTCTCTTGGTATTAGATGGTGACTTACTAAGTTGTCTTATACATCTGGAAGCCTTAGGATCCAAGAAAAGGACCTCTTTCCCTTTCCTCTCATCCGTCTGTGAAGTTATCATCTCCAAGCCTATTTCCCTTATCACACTGTCTGTCCTGCGGGGACGCCTATGAAATCTGCCCTCAGGTGGCACCGTCTTCCGGGTGAGGTGACGCGAGTGCACACGAACACCAAGAGTAACCAGCCGCATGTCCCCGAGGTGAGCCTTCCGGAATCACTGTTTCAGAGCAGGTCCCACGGCAGGCACTGAGTAAACGGCCCTCGAGAGACGCGTACCTTCGTGGTGGTGCCTCTTGGCGTAGGACACGGCCTCCCCCTCGTGCTGGGCGTGGAACTTCTGGATGCACCGTCTCACCAGGTCCTCCCAGCCCGGCTTCATGGCGGCCCGCATGGTGCTCGTGTCCAGCGACGTGATCTTGCCTGTTAAACAACAGCAGGCCTCAGACCCACATACCGATCTCCTGTTTATGGCAATAATTAAATTGCAAAATCATACCCCTTTATTTATTTACGGTCGGGAGCACGAGTCCTCCCTCCCTGCCGCGTCCTCGGCGCTCCCGCCCCCGCAGCAGTCACCGCGCCCGGCTTCTCCACCGGTCTCCTCACAGAGCCCGCGCGATGACACACACGCAGGTGTTCTAAAAGGGTTTCTTTGGGAAGAGGATTTACCTTGGAGATCTTGGCGAGTAGTAAAACTTTCGGATGAGGGAAGAACGGGCCTTTCCTTCATGGGAACTCTCCTTGCCACACAAATCAGGCAGGACTGCAGATCTTCAATTGGAGACATTTAAGGTCATCGTCTTAGGCTTTTTTAGTGATTCAAACAAACTCAAGCGTATTTATGAGAGCACAGCCTTGTATATCGACAACGGAGAGAGTGACACAACTCTGCGTACCTCTGCTTTTCAGGGGCTTTATTCTCTCCTCCACTGAAGTGGGAAGCAGCTTGGGACGGGGAGGGCATGGTGTGTGGGAGGGGCTGGGGGAGCTGAGGACACACAGTCGAAGCCACACGGTGCCTGTGACAAAAGTGTATCCCCTGTGCCGGTGTGAGCAACTTGAAACCCCTTCCCCAATGATGGAAAATAATGGAGTCCTTTCTTATCAAATGGCTAATACTAACAACCGGCTGAATTCATGATAAAGTACAAAAATGACGAAGCCCCAGTCTGACACTCTGCTTTGTCAAGGGCGCCTGAGTTTCAGATTCACCACGAGACAGTTGAAAACTAGGTATACCTTCTACCCAACTATGTAAATACCCTTACAATGGACACGTGCGATTTAAAACAAAGAATTTAAACTAAATCTAGACTCAGAGTTGGAGAATAAATCCCAGAAAATGCAGCATGGGCCCAGTTGCGACCCTCAGTCGTGGCCAGTGTCTCACGTTCCCAATGCTAAGCATTTGCTCCTCACCCCACTTAAACTGTTTTATGCATCTGTGTTCACTTCTGGAGAACAAGTAAATGTTGTATTTATCTTTGTAACATGCAGAACACATTGCATAGTCCCTCCAATTTCAAAAATGCTGGATAAAAGGATGTTAAAAATAGTCTAGTCATATCTTAAGTCATTGATTTCTAATTGTTCACCTTTAAATGTGGGAAAGAATGCTTTAACTACATCCAGTAATAGCAAGAATCACAAAATTAAATGTAACCCTCATCCTCCACATAATAAATGCTAAATTTCTGAGCACTTATGATCAGATAGACATCTTTCTAGCTGCTTTTATAGGCTACCAATTAATTTAATCCTCTTGACTCTAGAGGCAAGTACTAGTATTATCTCCATTTCACAGTGGAGAAAACGGAAGCATGACGTTTAAGCAATCCAACATCACACAAAACTTTGATGAACAGGATTTGAACCTTAGCACACCATGGCTCAGAAACCCTACACTATGCTGTGCTAACATCCAGCATCAGATTTGAAATGTCCAAAAAAGCTTAAATATACAACACCCAAACAAAACTGAGCTCAGCTATACCTTTTTTTATGCTGCTGTAGGGTATTATCATAGATGGATGACTTAGCAGCACTGTTGCATAAAAGTGAATCAAATCACTTGACATCCCATACCTACGTAAAAACTTAATTTTGAAAAACTATGTATCATCTATGACAGCTCTATTATTTCCTTTCCAATAAAATTTAAATGAAAAATTACTTACCTATTTTTTAAAAGGATTAAATAACTAGTATTTAATGCCAATCATGGTTCAGGCATAGTCACGTGATCCTTATTACATTCTGACACTGCTACTCGGTAACAGAGTGAAGTGATGTTCGGAGAGCTCAAGGAGCCTGCCTAGAATCAGGGCTGGTGAGTGGCTGAATTAGGAGCTGGCCTGTCTGGTTATAAGGCCCATGAGGCTTCCATTCACCAGTGGTCCTCAGCTCTTCTCCTTCTGCCAGGCATGCAGGATGCACTCTTTAGCACTGTCTCATATTACAGGCTGACACTCAACTGTGAAGGCCTTGCTTGGGGGGTGTAGGGGGTGGATGCTACGTCAGCACCTCTTTAAGGAGAAGAGCCTAACAGCCAATAGTATGAAACACCCTCAATTCCCTGCTCCCACCTCTATCCTCTCTTAAGGATCATTGTATTACATCATATCGGGGACCCAGCACCCATGGATAAACTACATGGGACCCATTAATCCCTTGAAAGTACAGCTGACCCTTGAACAACAGGTTTGAACTGCATGTGTCCAACTTATACGTGGATTTTTTTTTCAATAAATACATACAGTACTGTAAATGTTTTTCTTCCTCATGATTTTCTTAATAACATTTTCTGTCCTCTAGCATACTTTATTGCAAGAATACAGTATATAATACATATAACATACAAATTGTGTGTTACTCGACTGCGTATGTTATTGATAAGGCTTCCGGTCAACAGTAGCCTATTAGTAGTTCAGTTATGGAGGAGTCAATAGTTAAATGCAGATTTTCAACTGTACAGGGGTCAGTGCCCTAACTTCCGAGTTGCTCCAGGGTCAACGTATATGAAAGCTGCTGTTGGAACTGTGCGCGTTTTTCTAGGCTGTGGGTCATAGCTCGCCGCAGACAATCACAGGAGCTTAGGCTTGCCAAGAGGCTCAACCACTAACAGGGTAGCCCCTAGCCACAGGTGGCTATTTAAGTGTAAATTTAATAAAATAGAAAATTTGGTCTCCCAAATGCATTACTGACATTTCAAATGCTCCATAGCCAGATGTAGCTAGTGGCCGCTGCCTCAGACATTGAAGATATATAACACTACCATCATCGTAGAAAATTCTACTGGGTTGTCGGAAGTCATGATGTGTTTTTTCTATGTTTTTCGTTGCAAAAATGCGTGATGACTTTTCCGACAACCCAATACTGGATTAGCGCTGTTTCAAAGACTTATAAATTAAATTTATCTCAAAAATTGTTAAGTACGTGAAAAGAACCACCACCAAAAAAACCTGCCTCTCAATTTTTCTGGCGACTAATTTTAGATTAAGTCTGAAAGTAGCAGCGCAAGAATAAATACACACATATATAAAACATCCGAGAGATTTTGCCCTACCTTCTCCTTCTTCTTTGATGGACTTTGGTTGAGAGACAGCAAAGCACTGCATAGTTTCATATTTCTGATGTGTTTCCTGGTGATCATGGCCCTCCTCTTCTGAATCAGGTAAAGGCTTTACCAGCATCCGGCAATTGAACGTATGGCTGTTCCGCCTGGGAGGTTCTCCAGACCAAGATCCCCCGTTCACTGAGCAAGGCAAGAGGAACCCGAAATTATAAAGAAACTAACATCAGACTCACTATTGCCAAATGATCAAAATGACATGGGAAACATGTTTTCTTTCATTTTTATATAGTGTTTATACTTTTCTAAGCAATTTCATAATCTTAGAGGGGAAAAAATTGTTGGGTTCATGTTTCAACAATGTGGGAAAACTCTTGGGATTTTCAAAATGTTTTTTCACTCTTTACTCTGCCTCCTTCCCTTCAAGTTTAGACGTTGATTACTTATTACTAGAATACTATAGGTTTTTATTTTTCGGGTTTCCCTGAGTTTGACTTCTTGGAAATTTAGTTCAATCTACTCACATTCCAGTTTTAGATATGTTACCCTCTACTGAAATATCTGTACGTGGCACTGACTAGAGCACACATTAAATTCTTCAAAAGGATTTGGACGATGTAGTCAGCAGTATTAAGGCTATTCAAAATGATAAATCGAACTCGCACTAACCAGCCCCATGTTCTCCATCTATCCAGATCGTTCTCTTTGCCCAGCACCCGCCTGCTGCCATTTTCCATATCCTGTCCCACATGGATATCTCTGCTCCTACCACTCGATGTAAAATGTCAGTCTGCCTTGATTTCTCCCATCCAAAGGTACTCCTGCTCTAAGGCTGAGATCCTCTACACACTTAACCAACTACTGTAGGCAACTTACGCTGCCTCCTCTTACAGGTTTTTCTTTTCTAAAATTTTACAGAAATTTTAGTGTGTATTCTGTAACGTGGCTGTTGCTGAATTACTCTGCTGCAGTCTTTTTTGTTTCATGCACATTTCCTCAATAAGACTGAAAAATCCTTGAGGATAGATGGCTAATGTCATTTATTTCTTTTCAAGTGAAAAACGACTTCACTTCTCTTCTATTTTAGTACCAATACTTAGAAATGTATATATTAAGTGAAGAAAAAAATAATGCAAGAAAGGAAAGGCATACTTTTTCGGGGAACTGCTTTGGAGACACCAATGAGATAAATAAAAGAAGGACTAATTTCGATAATCAAAGGGTATTTATGTATCACCAGGTCAAATTCCTTATTCCACAGAGAAGAAAACTGACATACAAAGAAATGTCCAACTACTAAAAGAGCTGGAATCGGAACTAATGCTAATTCTCATTTTGGTATTCTTTTCTTTACTGTTCCTTATGTGTTACCTAAAAAGTATTAGGACCAGTAGGGCAATGAAAGAGGGAATCAAAAAATGGGGCAGTCACAAGGTAAGCTCATATACTCTCAAAAGGTACTAATTAGAAAGCACTAAATGGGACATATAGGCGTTACGGTGAGTGCAAGGCTAACCCCACAGCCACAAGACTGTAGAGGAATAAAAAAGAAAACAAGCACTAGAGAGAAAAAAGAAATATCAAGTTAACTGCAAGAAACGATTTTAGAAGAACAGAAGGAACCAGAGGTAACTTTATAAGCCTGTGCAGACATTTCACCATCAGCTTACAAGATTATTTATAAAATGGAAACTACATAGAGTAATCAGGTTAATAAGTAATTGAAAGTATAAAAATGTACAATATAATGTAAGGCTCCTTAGACAAATGAATTAATAATAGTGAATTAATAAGTATAGGTCCTTTGAGGAAGCCGTAAAATTACTGAAGAGATCTGAAAATGTTAGCTATGTGAAATAAGAAATCCCATTTTCATGTTCATTTACTAGAGAATATAACAGAAGAATCTCACACAAGTATTCAGTATTTTGTAGTATTACTGCTGCAGTCAGTTTGAGCAAAGGGCTCACCCTTCAAGGAAAGGCCAGCCATAATGGAATCTGAAAAGACTTCTTCCTACTTACTGAGGTAGCAGTAAGACCAGCACATATTAACAGTCTGAAGAAAAAGAACGGAAATACTTGCTAACAACTCAGGACTTGACCTTATTCTCTACTAAAATATGCACCTCTTTTTATCTGTGAAGATGTTGTCAGCATCACCAGTTTAAGTGAGAATATTAAAAAAGAACCACTTAGTAAGTGGGAACAGCCATACTAAGGTGGGCCCATGCTGTGAGCCACCCACTTTAAAACATGGCCCCAAATCATCAAGAACACTTGCGGACAGCGTCTCGAACATCAGATGGAGAAGTCAGGAATCTGAAATGGGGAGGGTGGGGAAGGAGGCAGCATCTGGTGGAGGGAGACACCTGCAGAGCCACCGAGGAGTCCGTGAAACGCAAGAGCCAGTTTAGGGCTCCTGGGCTGACAGTGTCTGAACCACTATACACCACTTTGTCCCTTAACATTTTATTTTTAGAATGATGTATACTCCCACATACATACTTTTTCCCAAAATGTGTTGAATCTCAGATTTCTCATGATCTCCTACCTACTAGACAGTCATGGAGACATAGGGCAGAACAGAGTTGGCTGGCGCTGGACAGAGTGGGAGGCAATTTGGCACTTCCTTATAAAGCAACAAAACAAACTCGTGAAGAGTTGCCACGAGTACTTTCATTCTGAATTATTTTCATGTACTTTAAATAAACGATCAATCACCCAAGATCAATATCTGCAGATATCCTTTTCGCCCTGACTTCCAAGCTTAAACATCAAGCATCTCTATATCCCCAATCGACACAATGTGGTTCTTTGGTATCCCCCTCCAAACAAGGCTACATGTGTCCCCGGGGAGGGCGGGCAAGTGAGGAGAGACCCAGCAGACAATCCTTTACCTATGGACTTTGGCAGCAGGTTTTTGACAAATTCCGTGTGGTCCCCAACATGCAGGATGCTGTATACACTTTTGTTCATCAGCTCCTCTTGGTTATACCTTAGGTACTGTGTCACATTCTCTGAAACGAACACCACGTTGCCTTCCAGGTTCACCACAAAGAAGAACCCATCAAGGGCCTAAAGGAAAAGGACAAACTGTGTTGGGAAGGGTACGGCATAAAACCACGCGCAATTGGTAAGACGGGGAGATTCCTTTAAGGGAAGCATTAGAATTCACATGTGGATGGAAAAGAGATCTCTCTCGCTCTTCTGCTTTTCAAAACAATCAACACGTTCTCTCTTGGTAAAATTACTCTATCTTAGAAAGTGCGAGAGAGCCTAGATCAGGGTTTTCTGTCACAAACTAAATGACAAATACCAACTCTGTTAAATCACCAGGAGGTAATTATTGCCAAAAAGTGTACAAGCATTTACTTATCTGTATTTTCAAAATGAGATCAATGTACTTGCTCCATAGGATGAAGAGCTACTTCCACATTACCGACCATACAAAGTAATGTGGTCAAGTTTCTTATGTAATACAAGGGGAAGGAGTCGTTGATAATTTTGCCTCAGGTTAAGGATAAAGACCAACCCCCCCCCCCTCCCCGGCCCTTCTACTACCTTTGAAGCTCCCTGGGTTTATAAGAAAAGAATCACAGATGACCTCGGACCTTTAAAGAAACCTCAATTCTTTCTTGTTTGGTGTACGTGGGGAAAGGGTCTGGGAAGTGCCTCTATTATGACCAGCTTGTCTTGACTGGGACCTCAGGCTTAGATGTGGTCAGCACTGTCCTGAGGCTCGTGGTTTTAAAGAGGCTTTGAAAGGGACTCGAGGTTTCGGTTTATAACAGTGAGAACTCGACAGTTAACTATTGGGTTGTCGGGCAAGTCATGATGCATTCTTGCATTAAAAGACACAGAAAAATATATCATGACTTTCCTGACGACCCAATAATTGTGCCTTTCTCTAGTACTTGGTCTCTAGATTGTCAAGATGCAGGCTCTTAAATCACCTTGGTAACAGCAGCATTTTCCCTGTAAGGGGTACAACCCCTCTCTCTTCCTTGTCAGTCCACTCCAGATTAGGGAAGATGAAGAGTGTAAGGGTCATTTCAGGAAATAAGGAGAATCATGGCGATGGAGCATGCTTACTGTGCCTTAAACAAATTGTGTCATTTAAATATTTATAACTCTGAGAGGGATTTACAGAGGAGGAAGAAATTGAGGCTCAAAGAGACTAAGTGATTCGCCCAAGATCTTGCCACTGGTCAGTGGCAGCGCTGGAATTTGAATCCAGGTGGACCTGGCTCCAGGGGTCACGCGTTCAGTTACTCTGCAGCCAAGCTCTGCTCCAGTCTTGTCCCAGTCCCCTTTCCTATCATGTTTCTCTTGACGATGCAAAGGTCGGGAGTTCAGCGAGTTTGTCTTCGTTACTCCTCCTTTCCCTTTTTGATCCTTGCTTGTCAGAGCTGTTTTATAGATCAGGTGGGTGATCGGGACTAGAAAAGGCTTGATATTGATCAGGCATACCTGGAAACAGGGCCACCTGGTCTTCCCAGCTTACGCCACACAGCTTCGCCATGCTATTATCTGCAAGTGTTTTTAACATGGCTGTTACATGTACACACTGGTGTAACCATGTGTATGGATGAGGCAGAAAGTGTTTGCTTTTTCCCTAGGTTGTTTTTCCTTAAGTTATTATTTAACAGGCTCCTCTTTTGTGAGCTTTCTTTGAGTATCTTTCCAATTTCTATTTTTGTCACAAAACTAAGTGTTCTCTCAAATAGAACTGACCAGAAGGCACCAGTGAAAAGCCACTCCCTCCCCCACAAAAAACCAACACCCCACTTGGTTTTAAGTTTTTCTTAAATATTTTGTCAGGTTTCCCCAATGGTATAAACAATACGCCGGGCAGAGCAAGACTACATGTAAATGGCCTTTCGTAATAGGTTGGCACCAACCCTTGAAAACCTTGTGAGTATATGTTCGAACGTGTGTGTCTGTAAGAGGGACAGGAAGTCTGTCAGTTAATTAGTAATGTACCAAGTGTCCTTTTAAGCTTACCACTTTAGATACACATTCAACAGGGATTTTCATAATTATATTATATATAGTTCACTTTTGGAAGTGCATGTAGCTTCCTACTGTTTTTGTACCCTGGTATAAAAAAGGCTGATTTGTGGCATAATATAACCGAAAGATCAAATTGTTTCATCTCATAAAGCTGTTTGTGTTTTTTTAAAGCTCACTATGATATACTCTGATGAAAAAAGCTGACATTTGGTTTTGTTGCCTAGCAACCACTATGCTATGATGTAAGCATGAGTGTGCATCTATGCCGAGGAACAGCTCAGCGAGAACAAGTTTTCTGTTTAAATTATTACATGTAAACAGAGATAAAGAGTTAAATTCAAACCTCAAGACACCAGAGTCAAGCATTACCTCTCCAACATATTTAGCACGCAAGTCCTGGTGCACGACGGCTTGCTCAATGCGCTGAATTCTCAGAAAACTATTGTGCAACAGCAAAAGTGCTAGTTTGATTTTGTGAGATGAGGCCCACTGATATCTAGCAATCTGACTTCTACAATTAATGAACTTGCTCTCACAGGGTTTGAGTCACACACAGCCTTGTGGTTACTCTAAGCATTTCCTTTTAGAAGCCCTGAAAGTTTTCCCAGAATTTTCCACCCTCCTTTAATGTTCCCTCCTGATACAAGGAATCAACACTGATATATGAAAATTTCCTGTCATAATTTAGATTACTGTGATTTTCAAATCAATTTTGTTTGCAATTCAAAATCTTTTTTGCAGGAAGTTATCCACTTTATTCCATCTAATTCTAAAAAGTCCACCTAGTTAATAAGAGTTTTCTTATCTGCTTCTGAGAACCAGGCGGGAAGTAGCCTTCGCTGGCCTTCCACTGCCTGTTGACTCTGGAAAATCAGGTTAAGTGTGTTTTTGCTTTTCCCCTGAAAATTGTAGCTGGATGCTTTCAAGCCAGTGAATCAAGAGAAAGCGGCAAGGGCCAACATGGATCATTTAGAGTCTTTGGCAGCAGGTCCAGCCCCAGGGAATGAATTCTTATTCATTTCTAAATAAAAAGACTGGGTCAGGTGATCTTTATATTTTTCCGTGTCTCCACCTCCCTCCCCGGTCCCTTTTGATTATATGGTCGATTTTCACAGAATTAAAATTTCTAAAAATAAAAATCATCTTATGCACCAGTGGAAGAAAAGGAGTGATTATTTGGTTATCTTTGCTTTAAAAATCTTAATTTCTTTTATATGTGTGGCTGCAGCAGCACGTGAGGCGATCCTGCAGTCACAATGCTGCAAAGCTTCTGGCCACGCGGTGCTTTTCAATCTCGTCACATCAGCAGACTAAATTATCTTGAGGACTGACATCATTTATGTCTCAGGGCTCCTCTGTTTCTTGTTATATATTCGCTGATTTTTTTCCCTCATCTTACCATAGCCTACATCTTGAATTTTAATTTTGAAACAGGTACAGCAAATCACTTGGTGTTTAATACTTTACTAGTTAATAAAACAGGAAAGCTGGACTTTACAAATTCTAGACAGCGGTCTGGTCATAAAATTTCCTCAAGTTAATCAAGAACAGGCAGTTAAGACCAATCATTACACTTGCGATGCTTATCTTCAAAAGTTCTGCCTATTACTTCCAATTTTCATCTTTATGAGATAAATAAACTAGCTTGAAGTTGCATAAGTAAAAAACATAAACCTCTTTTTGGTCCTCAAATTTTAACCTGTATATATAGGCATATCTATACGGCACATATAAAAATCAAGAATTTGGGAAAAATTTCAAATTAAAACATATCGTGGAATTTAACAGGTCTTGTGAACATGATTTTCCAAAATGAACGCTCCAATGGCAGTTAAAGCCTGTGAATGTATATTCTTTTTTTTTTTTTTAAAGATTTTTATTGGGGAATTGGGGGAAGGGGAACAGACAAGTTGCTGTCCTTTGTTCTTCAGTCTAGTTGTGGAGGACGTTGCTTCACTGGCCCATGTTGGTATTATCATTGTGCTCTTCCCGGGTGAGGCAGTTGCTCCCCGGCCATTGGATGGCTGCTCACAGCGGCTCTTGGCAGCTCATGAAAGCTCACACCCGCTACCGGCCAGCCCCACTGCAGCCTATGTCATCGCTGGTGACTCACGGCAGCCCAGCTTCAGGTCGAGCTGTTGTTCACCATCTTAGCTGTAGAGGGCGCAGCGTTACTGGCCCTCATGTGGGATCCGAACCCGGGCCCTGCTCCTCAGAGCTGGCGTCCCAGGCCAATTCCTAACCAACGTGCCACTCGGCCGGCTTGTGAATGTATATTCTAATCTAGTTAATTTCACTCTATATGATACATTTGAAATGCATCTATGCTGCAATCAGGAGCCAGAAGATAGATGCATGTTAATAAACTCAAGAAGTAAGCAGTTGTTCAGTCTTAAGAATGAAAATTAACGGTGGGTTATCCTCCAATTACATTCACCTGAAAATGAACTTAATAATGCCAAGACCAACAACACTGTAAAACACGGAACCAGAACACAGTCGCTACCTCAAGCATCATGGGCCCCAGCGCGTCCTTGTCGATGACACCCTGCCCCGTAGACGACACGTCTGACTTCTGCACTTCATCTATGTTGGCCGCTGCTGCTTTCTCTGCAACAAACGCAAGTGTGAGTTAAATGGTGGTGCTATTTCAAGGACAGAGTGACATGGAAACGTTTTTATTGTCATGATTTCTGAAATCTCTGGTGGGATCAGGTATGGCTATAACAGGTGGAGGACATCCCCACTGCCACTGAATGGGAAAAACTGCTGGAAGCGGGAGCCAGAAAGGTAACTTTTCACCTCCAAACCTGTGGCTCAGATCCCCCTCGGGCTGCTGATAAAGTGAGGTTAGTGGTTTCATGCGAGTCTCTGACAAGCTATTCTTCTAGATTACAGAACCCCTATGTACTACGGCACAATTAGTTTCTACTCAAACTAGGAGAACCGAGGGTCTGCTGCTGAGAATTCGGCAGCATCATCAGAGATACAGCGGCACACATTTGAGGAAGGGACAGAAAGGAGTGCCAACCTGCGACGGCTGCTCCCACGTGACACTCTAATGACGGCCTTAACTTTTGTACTGTCCCAACTCTTGTCACACTCACATTTAAAGTAACCAGAAAGATTTGGTCTCTGTCTTGTTGAAGGGGCGTAACTATTTAAGGCAGAGAGAAGAGCCGCCCTGTCAGGCACCCAGGGAGTTCAATGGCTGCCCTTTTATCTGGTACAGAGATGCATAGTAAGTGCTCCTGGGTTAAAATGTGCTGGGCAGCTCTCAGGCCCACGGGCCCGGGAAAACATTCCATCATGGAAAACTATTGCAGAAGAAATGGATGCATATTTATGGATATATGTAAACTAGTTGTTTCGACAATATCCAAGTTTAAAGCCTATCAGAAACATAGCTACAACTTGCTAGAAAACAACATAGAAACAATGTGCCAATTATTCTGTACCTGAATAAATTAGATCTTGTTTACAGAGCATGCTATCATTGTAATTAAATGCAAATAAGAAAACTGTAAATCAATTTTGTACTCAGAATCAACCTGCTTTCATGATCTTGGCAAATTTTGCCTCTTGTTCTTTTTTTTTTTAAAGATTTTTACACGGTATTTTGAAAACTTCTAAAGTTTTGTTTGTACCTGAGAACAGAGAAAAGAATTAGGAAAATGATGCAGGTCCTGCAAATCTTGCCACGCCCATGATGGAGACCTTCCGCCAGTATGTGTATCAGTGGAAACGGGAAGGAGACCTGTGTAGTTCAAGTCTAAGCTCAGCCACTTGGTAGAAATCAAAGCAAGAACCTTCAACCCTTTAAGGCCTTAGTACCTGCCTTCCGTACATACACACTGGGACAGGAGTAAATGGCACGCTATGCAAAGCACACTTTGAAAATTACAAAGTAGTTTACAAATGTGACTTAGTATAGCATATTTATATTGGGTTGTCGGGAAAGTCATGAAGCATTTTTGCAACAAAAAACAGAAAAAATATGTCACGACTTTTTGGACATAATAATAAAGTTATTATTTCTTCTTTACTGAGTTCCAAGTGTAGTTATTTCTTTGCTGTGTTTATCGTAAGCAGACTGTATCTGCTTTTTCAGTTACCCCACTACATTCCTGATTCACCCCCTTAGAGCTAAGTGACTGTGAGCAGCTATAGTGCAGATGACTGGTCCGGAGCCCTTTATAACTCAGTATCGTGGGGATCTGACAGCCCTGACGTTTTCCCCCTGCTGCCTTCCCTGCCTAGCTCTTTTTTTTTTTTTTGCAGCCTACGCCGTCCCAGCGACTCACGGCAGCCCAGCTCCAGGTTGAGCTGTTGTTCAGCATCTTAGCTGTAGAGGGCAGTGTCACTGGCCCTCATATGTGGGATCCGAACTGGGGCCCTCTGGCGTCCCAAGCCAGCGCTTAACCATCGCGCTCGGCCGGCCTGTCCCTGCCTAGCTCTTGATGGTTAGGTCCCTGAACGCTGGTTTCACCTGCAGGCTTAGCCTTAGGCCACTTCCTCAGCCTCAACTGAGGCAGGCAACACCCATCTCAGGCTCTCTACATATTACCACATATGACACCCCGCATCCCCATTTTCCTAGAACATTTTTCACTGCCAAATATACTCCAAATAAATGCATGCCGGGGCATAATACATATTTCTTTGCCAGCTCGCTCCGTAGGGCTGTAGATTGCTCTTCAGTGTCTGCGCACTTTCTCATCCCCCAGTCCAGGGACGGGACTGGCCACCACCTGCTGCGTGCTCCCCAACGATAGCTCAGCCCTCTGTCCAGCGTCTCCACACTGCCCCCCCGTGAGTCATGCAGCCACTGCCTCGGTCACCAGTTCGACTGCTGTGGCATCACGGTGCTTGTGTCCAAGACACCCTTACTTTAGTTCATAACGGCCCCAAAGCGCAAGAGTAGAGATGCTGGCAATTTGGATATGCCAAAAAGAAGCCGGAAAGTGCCTCCTTTAAGGGCAATGGTGAGTACAGTACAAGAGTTTGAGAGAGAGGGAGAGGTCACATTCACATGACATTTATTACACTATATTGTTATACTAGTTCTATTTTATTATTAGTTATTGTTGTTAATCTCTTACTGGGCCTATCTTATAAACTTTATCATAGGTATGTATGTATAGGAAAAAACACTATATATATATATATATATATATATATATATATATATATATATATATTTATTTATATATGGGGGTTGGTACCATCCATGGTTTCAGGCATCCACTGGGGGGGGGCGGGGGGAGGGGCACGCATCCCGGTAGATAAGGGGGGACTACTGTAATTTAACAGCACTGTTTTTCAGAGGGCCCAGCAGGCTTCAGACCCAAGGATCCCTGGGTTTCACTAATACCTAACTCCAAAGCCCGCATAAGAGATATTATGTATTTATGTGGCCCTGAGATTTTATTTGGCTTTTGTCTTTGGTATGAGGCAGTCAGGGTGCAGGACCATGAGCTGCAAAGCCCACAGAATGAGTAACTCCGGGCTCCCCCGGCCTCCTCACTACTCGCAGGAATAGCGCACGCTCGTCAGTAACATCTTGCAGCAGCAGCGGTGACTCTCGCGTTGGAACCGTTCACATGAGAAGACTTCCCGGAGGCTGATGTTCTGTCCTCCCCGCCTCCTGCAGTCAGCCACTTGTCCATGAAACAGCGCCCTGTTCCCACCAGAAGGTACGTCTCACGAAGGGGGCGCTGTGTCTGTATCCTCATTGGCGAGCACTGTCTTTCAGAAGCCTCTATTTTGGTGGCTGACGGACAGACTAGACCCAGCGCTGGCACTTATTCCCAGAAATGGAGAAGCAACTGGCATGGGGGTGGGGGTGGGAAAAGGGACTGGTTTTCCCGTGGGTCCGCCGGCTCTCCAGGGTG